TAACCCCGGAACATTGAAGGATGGAGGCGCTCACTAGTTATAAAAATCATCTGACTTAAAATAGGTTTATTTTATGATGATTAGAACAAAAGAACATAATTCATAAGGAAGAATATAATATTTATTCTATCTATCATCCATAATCTTTTGAGGAAATCTTTATAAAGGTTTAATTTGTAGTTCGCTCAGCAATTTATCAATTTAGCCCTTGACAAAGCTTTTAACTTCTAAATCCAATTTAATTATCCCTAAGTGTTTTTAATTCCCTAAGGATATACAGCAATGAGTTCTGGTTCTTTCCAAAACCATCAAATACCTCATTAAATCCCTACCCACCATAATCCTTCCTACAATCTCTTATTTGTCCGATAAGTCCATAAACCATAAAGAACCTAATATTTCTAAAATGCCGCTAAACAGGCACGGAACAGATCCTTAATCCTTGATATCAAAACAAGACCATAAGCCCGCAACCTTTCCTTCCAATCTACATAGGTTTTCCATCTTGTTGTTGGAAAACAAAGCTTCCAAAACAGAACTAAAGCCTTTATTTATAGTACAGAAACCAGAAGCGAAAATATAGCCATTATACTCTCTCAAATTGCAAAATACAAATTAAATTTTCGATGCCGTTCTGTAAAATCTACGAAAATAGACAGCTGGTTTTGGAAACGAATGCCTCAATGGTGCTAAATTAAAAAGTTAAGTAAGTTTTTAAAGGTGTGTGAACTTTGGGAATACTGGATACTTTTTTCCGAAGGAAAAAGCAAATAAGATGCTTTCATTCATAGTTGCGGCACTGAAAGCAACTAAATAATTTTTTTTATTTTTTTTTTTTATTGAATACAGTCGATGCCGTTGAGCCCTACTCATGCCGTACTCTTTTGTTCCTTTTGCTGGCGCCCTAAAAGTTTTTTTCTCTCCTCTTTAACTATTTATCCGCACCTGTCATGGTATTGACAATCAGTAGATGTGCTGTGATGATGAAGATTGACATTGTTGGCATGATGAAGGATTGTACCCAGCAGCACCTCTTCCTGGTCATTTTTTACTTCCTTGATTTAGGTGAGGAGATCTCTCATCCAGCTCCTTTTTAGTCTCCTCCTGATGGGCATGTTATTAATATATTATGAAGTATATATAAATATTAAAATAATATGTTTTTATTAGATTCCAACCATGTAACGCAAGTTGGCGGAAATAACTACCTAATTAGTCAAATCACGCTTTTTGGTAAAAAGTAAATTTTAGTAGCAGTATTAATTGCCGTATGTTTTGTATTGTGGCCCCCTTTTTAAAACACGTAAATCATCCCTTAATCATAATCCTCTCCTAAATTAAAACCTTTCAAATACCGTCCGTTTGAATATTAATCCTGAAAAATGTTTTAAAATCTTTTCGCTCTAGTGATTCAGTATTTTTTTTTTTTTTTTTTTTTTTGTATTATAAAATGCCAGGTAACCCGTGGAGAAAAAAATTGTTTATATTCATTTATTTTTTAAATAAAATAAAGAAGGTCCGTTAGGAATTATTTTTACATGTGCCGCAGATGTTTTGCAATTATTGTAAAAATTGTATTTTATCATATAGAATTATAAGCCGTAGTATTAGATAAGATGAGATTATTTTTGAAAATATTGAATATATTGAAAATATATATATATAAAGGTACATGATCTTTATATATATATATATATATATATATATATATATATATATATATATATATATATAAAGATCATGTACCTTTATAATAGGATTAAGGAAACATCTGTCAAACCACAGTTCCCAATATATATATATATATATATATATATATATATATATATATATATATATATATATATATATATATATATATTGGGAACTGTGGTTTGACAGATGTTTCCTTAATCCTATTATAAAGGTACATGATCTTTGTCTACTAATAACTCAGGTAGTTGGCGTCAAATCCTTGATGGCCGTGCGTGTGAAAGTGAAACGTGTCGAATCTATCAGAGCCGGTTCGGATCCTAGGCGAGTAGAAATTTGTCCTTATGGGTCCAAGAAAAATGAAAAGAAGTAAAACACTAACTATAATATCTATCGCTTAGAATATCTATAAAAATAAAGATCTATAAAAATATTTACCAATACCTTTCAATGTATGCTGCTGAATCGATTGATTTTTGTAAATTTTATAGATTTATATAAGTATTTTATTAATTATAATTTTTATTTTTTTCAGGTAAGTTCTTCCTTATAATGGCTGGAAAATGTTATATAAAAAAACGTATGTATCTTTAATGATAATTATTCATTTATATTTTTGTAGTAATAATTTATCAAATTGAAATGTTGAAGACATGTTAGCTTTCTAGTTTTATGAGAAAAAAAATCAGTTATTAGAGTGTTCTCATTATTAGAATAATCTCATTTTATATATGTAATATGTGGTTTATCCATGCTTGTCATGTTGTTTTGGAACTCCATATTACAGCTATACTCTACCTTAACCTGATTTAAAGAACATTTATTCTTCTACCTTCTAATATATGTAAGAATAAAATTATCGTATTTAAGAGCTGTTATTTTCATTTTACTTCTATCTTTCAGATATTTATGCATTACATATATTGCTTATCAGTAAGAACATTTGAACACACTCATATATATATATCTATAATTTAACATGTTTCTTGTGTTTTGTTATTTTTATTATAGGGTTTTATAATCCTCAATTTCTTCTAATGTCAGACAAACGACACATCTCTGTTTAATATAATTATTCGTTGGAAACTACATGTCCGAAAATAAAATTTACTTTTCTTTCTTATGCAAGATCAAAAAAGTGTTTATTACTGTTCAATAGTGACTTAAGGTATATTCTGAAAAAACAAAGTTATTAATATTATTCAATATGTTATAAATGGAAAAGTCCAAATTGTAAAGCCATGAGTTAATAATTATATAGTTATAATAAATTATGAAGTCTCTAACATACAAACGAATAGCTAACCAGCCAACGTTTAGCCAATTCAGGCATCGTGAGGATAGTAAAAACGAGATCATACATATGCAGAAAGAAAAAAATAAATTTATTTATTTCTCATGAAGCCATCCAAAAATATAATGAAGGAAAGAGATGGTCATATTACCATCTAAGGAAAGTTATATTTAACAGCTAATTAGCATAGATACATTTAAATAAAAGAAAATAATATAATTTCATAATCACTTTATGTCTCTTTTCTAGCTGTATAATTATTTTAGTTTTATCATTTATGGAACGGCCGTATATTCACTGATTTTTGTCATGAATGTGTTAACATGGTACCGAAGAAATACGCTTTTTATCATTTTCTTTTGAATTTATTAATTTGTTTTCGTTTTTTTTTTTTAATTTAATTTAACATGGTTTGTATTATTATATCATAGTTATACGTACTTTTTTCCTCTAGAATCTTTGTTTATCAGCTGTACAATATAACCTTCCTTAGCTGTGTTAATATAACCTTCTCTTTCCTTCGGTATGTATTTGCTTGGCTTTATGAGATTCCAATAGCTAGTTAATATTTATCTATTTTTATTACTTATTAAAATGTGAAATGTAAATTTTTTTTTCTTTTCCTTTTTGAATTTTCTTTCTGCATAGATGTTATCTCGTTTTATTAATGTCCTAATACTACTTGCTTTGGCGAAACGATGGGAGGTTAATTATTCACCTGTATATTATAGACTCGAGGCATTACAATTTGTATTTTTCCATTTATAACATAATCACTTCATGCTTCTTTTCTAGCTGTATGCTTATTATAGTAATATTATTCAGTATTTAAAACCTAAAAAAGAATTTACATATTTTGCATATCCTTTTTCCAATAAGACTAATAAAACCCCAGTCTGCGAAAATCCATTTAATATCTAAGATATTAATACCAGTATTGGTTACCTTATTTGGAAAAATGAGAAATGAATGCCCCATAGAGATCACGAACGCCTTATTTAAATAATACGCAAAGATATGATGGCGATAGTGACCGAAGCAGATACAATAGTTGATTACAGGCTGCGGTCCCCCGTGAAGTGGTTGTCAAGTTGGTGATTGGTGGGGCCCTGATTGGCCCCTGTTAGGGCTCCCTAGTAGCAGCTTTCTGTTCCACGAGCTTTGATTGGCTGTCCCAATCATCCCTATTCAAATAGCTCTTCTGCATCCCTTAATCGTTTGCTCATTGGTCAACTCATCCCTCCATTCTTGTTTAGCCTCCAGTAGAATATGTGACGCCATTCTAAGTTTATTGATCTCTCAGTAGTTATTAAATACTTTTCTTCCTATAGTGTTGGGGCCAGGGGTACTTCAAAATAGAAGTACAAATCTTTCCCCGGTGCGTTTCCTCAAAGGTGGGGAAAATTAGAGTAAAATTAAATTTTGGGAAAGAAGGAGAAAAAAAAAATGTCAATAAAATGAGACCTGTAAAAACATAAAAAATGTGCATGCACAAGAAAATATTAAAAAATAAAAATATTTCAACACATAAAAAATGGAAGATAAAAAATCCCCTTCTGAATGCTTACAGATTTATTGAATAAAAACAGAGATATAAAATATATACAATAGTTAAAAACCAAATAAAGAGTGATATGAAGTTTACTGAAATGAATAAAACACTCATATAATATAAAACACAATATATAATACTCAGTGAACATAAGCCCAAATTAACGTTTAACGTTATTACGTTTAGCTGAATAAAACGACCATGTAAAATTTCTGGGCTTAGTGACGAAAGAATTCCTAAAAACTTAATGTACGCTTTGCCGACTGGTAAGCGTACAAGGGATAGACCGAAGCGAAAGTGGGAAGATTTCGTCAAGGCTGAAGGCTGACGGGATTGGCTTTGGACGGCGTTCGGTGGCTGGAATCAATTGGTGGTATCGAAATCAAACCATAGGTTTTTTTTTTTTATCATTGTTATTATTATTTTCGAATTTCACACTTTATTGGCTTTTGCCAGAAATATTCACCTACTCGGACCGAGGTCAAGGGTTAGGCCCAAAAGGCCCAAAACTATGTTTAATAACTTCCTGACGCTATGCCTAGGAGAATTGTTTTTTGCCCTTATTCCAACACTTTCTCTGACAGTTTCAAATTTTCGACAGAGCGAATGGTATCGTCTGGGATGAGGACTTTGCTGGAAATCACAATTGGATATTCCTGGACTTGATTCAGTTGCCGAAGCTCTTGGCATAAGTCTTGATATTTCCTAATCTTTTCATAAATAGTCTTTCCGATATTATCATCGGTTGGGAGCGCTATATCAATGACATACCCACTTTGTTTCTTCCGATCAATGAATACAATGTCCGGTTTGTTATTTACTACCGCGTGGTCCGTAATTATAGATCGATCCCAATATATTATTATATTTCTCTTTAAGAGCACCGGTTTGGGCCCATATCGATAATAAGGAACCTCTTCTGTTATCATATTATTTAATGAGGCCAGGGTTTGGTGAACAATTTTAGTCAGGTTATGGTGTCTCATCAGATATTCTGTACCTGTCAAAGCTTGACATCCCGAGGAAATATGTTGGATTTACTCTACATTTTTACATAAGCGACATCGGTCACTTACATTTTCTCCACATATATATTTTTGTAAGCATTGGTGGATACTACCTGGGTTTGTATTGCCAAAATAAACCCTTCAGTTTCGGTAGGTGTCCTTTCTTAAGCCATTTATTAGAAGCCTCCCAGTTAATTCCTGATTGAGATAAAGCATTGTAAAAACGACCATTTAGTGCTTTACTCCTCATTATTATTATTATTATTATTAAACTAATCATACTTTGAGAGAAGACATTTTAAAACTTTATCAAAGCAATACTTACCCGACATTACAGAGCAGTTAATTCACTTTGATATCACGAGTTTAACCAAAATGGCCTTAGCCATTTTCATGAATATTCTAAAAAAAAGTGTAAAATCGATAATACAAAATTCTACTTTTTGTAAATATCTATCTATTTTAAATACTTAATTTCACTTTCGTGCGATTTTTCATTTTTTAGCTTGACTGTTCAGATTGATCACTTTACAAAACCTGATTTTTTTTTTTTTTAGACTGTAGGAGTATCAAAACGTGTATTTCCGTTCAAAAATCGGGGTCGAAATTTTTCCTAATTGCCATAGTTTCTATTATTATATATTTCATATTTAGGTGAGTAGAAATAAAAAATTAAATAATATATTCAAATTATTTTAATAGACTATTACGTAATAAAACTAACGTTGAGAGGTGGATTCGAGAAATAACAATCCACAAAGCACAGTTGTAGTGCAGTACTGGTTGGTTTATTTTCTTGTCCAGTCATAAATTGTTTCACCTTCAGAAAGGGTTTTTGTGTCTCTAAGTCAGTTCTGGCTAATATTATCTCAAGCCTTCCTTTCTTATAACACATGAGAGTAATGCTGAGTTAATGTCTTGTTCCTTTATTTCAATTTATTCATATAGCTACTCAGTTATCTCCAAAGGGGAATACCGATGCGCCACTTTTATAATCCTCAAACATTTGGGTATTTTTTCTGATCTATTTAGGAAGTCATATTAGATATATTGTATGCTAGGTAATTGTATATTAATGTATTTCACTCTAACACACAGAAAAAAAAAAAGGATATCTCTTTGTATTAGAAAAATACTCGTTATATAGAAAAAATACTGAACATTGATTTCCTATGAAGCTGTCCGATGAAGTCTTGATGTTCACCATTTACCAGGCTATGCGTCACGGGAAATTATATTTAATGTTGAATGAGGTCAGCAGTAGCTCGATGTGTTTTCGGTGAATGGTAAATTCCATGACAATTTTTTAATTTTAACAAAATTATTTGTAGGTTTCATTAAAAAGAAATTAATCTAAAAATCTACATACTTCCTCATTATCCGTTCCTACCTTACTGGCAGATACTTCAAAGTCTATCATAACAATGCTTATTCATATCTTTTTACTCAGGTCGCCAGTGTTTCTCAAGGTAGTATCCTAGGTCCTATCCTTTACACAGTTTATACAGCTGACACTCCAACCCAATCCAATACTGTCATCACCACCTATGCCGATGACACGTGTATCCTATCAGTTAATAACGATCCATCTATTGCATCCCAAACTCTTCAATCACACATCACAAGTCTTGAAAAATGGTGTAAAAACTGGAGGATTAAAATAAATTCCAATAAATCCCATCAAATTACCTTCACTCTTCGTCGTAAACCTATGACTTCCTGTCCTACAGTATCCTTCAACAATAGCCCTCTTATCCATGTTGAACAAATCCGATACTTAGGACTCCACCTTGACAAACGACTCACTTGGAACCCCCATATCAAACTGTAACGACTAGAAACCACCCGACGTTTTCGACTACTGCAGCACTTACTAGACAAACGCTCTAAGCTTTCAATCAATTACAAACGACTCATATGAAAATAATAAGACCTATTTGGACTTACGGAATTGAGCTTTGGGGCTCCTCTAAACCATCGAATTCCTCTCGTATCCAATCCTTACAATCTTTCGTAAAATCCTTAACGCTTCTTACTTTGTCACAAATAAAATAATCCATAAAGACCTTAATGTTCCATATGTTTCCGATTTGGCCCTATCCAGATACATATCCTTCCATAACAAACTGCAGAACCAACCGAATCCTTTCGTTTCAAACCTTGCTTCCTTCTCAATCCCTGATAACCCTCCGAGGCATCTGAAAAGAAGATGGCATCGGGACCTTGTAATATAGGACTTTAATTTGAGTTCTACCAATGGGTAGTTTCTCTTCATGTTGTACATGTCATGTTACCAATGTCACATTTACTTGTTGTATTTTACATGTAATACAGTTGTAAATTTCATTAAAATAAAAATAAAAAAATCTAAAATTGGGCAGACACAGAACTGCCTCTGCAGTTCCTCAAAAAAGTAATAAAACTCTAGCAATATTTTTTATTTGATAATGCACCGCCTTAACCGTCGAATGATCAATATATATTATTTTCGGTATTGAAGATCCTTAATTATTAATTTTGTACATATCCTGCGACCATACTACAAATAAGCAACTAGATTTTCGGTGATTGGCTTGGGAATATAATTATGCTTCATCAAATATAACAGCATAGGTGCAATTAGCGCTGTATAAATTTAATATTGAAAAGGAGGGAACTCATGAACATATATCATGTATATGGCTAACACACGTTATCCATAATACATTAAATGCCAAAGTACACCACACATTGTATACATGTAATTTAGTTAGTACTTACTCGAGAAATTTACATACATTAATCCATTATTATATACATAAAATACATCTATAGCAACTTTAGTTACCAGCAAGTTTGCAATGAAAGTTCATTCATCCATATAATAGACCAGTTTCTGAGTCTCCATTATTTCGACATTAAATACTCTATTTAGGAATTTAAAACGTGTAATTATTTTTAAAACTCGGATTCAATATTTTCCACAATAGGAATATTTTTCGTTATTATATATATTACGTGCATAGGTAAGTGAAAGTATAAAAATGAATGATAATTATTATATTAATCATAATTATTAATTTACAATATATTTAAGTAAACTAATTAGTATTTAGTAACCTAATTAAATAAGGTAGTTTTAAAAATATTGGTAATAATAAAATTAGTGATGACAAATCGAGAAACTTAAATAAGTCACTCTATATGAATTGTTTGTGAAACCAAGAAAAAACTGTAAATTCTACAAATTTTAAATTTTTTGTTTAATTTTTGATCTTGGTATACTGTTTCAAACTGACCCCAATTTCGTTATAAATAAAAATCAGAATTTTGAAGGAAAACCGGTTTCAAAATTTTTGCAGAATAAAGGAAATTGGATAATGTAAGTAATATGTCAACGAATAATTCTAAAATCGAATTCTACGAATAAAGCAACACTGTTGGTATTTTATAGGATCGTAAATTTAAATGAGGTAATCATACAGAACAGTTAAAACAAGAATGCAGTAAAACCTTTTAAGAGATCCTTCACTTAATTTATTGCCACTGAGTTGTGATAGAAAAGTTCTTGTTATTTTGTATGCACACAAATTTATAGTATACCAGACCACAATCATTTTGAAATTCTGTGGAAAGGTATTGACAACAATGTTGAGTATAATGAATTAGATATGCTTAGAAATCTTATTATACAATATTTCAATGAGTACGAAACTATCAGGCCTATATATATTATGTCTCAGACAATAGAAGGTTCACCATCTTGGATTTAATTAAAACTAAAATAGGATTTAAAAATGTTCCTGATAACACTCCTCCAAAAGCAGTTTGATCTAGGTATAGTGAAATAATCTAAAACTTATTTTTCAATCATATAATAATTTTCACAGACGTATCTAAATCTCGAAAAAGGAATGGGTTATTGCGAGATGACAAATAAATCTAAATTAATAAATTGCACATCGGGAATTCTATTCATAATTCTATTATAAACGTTGGTGATTATGAAAGCGTTTGTCCGTAACAGATTTACAAATACAGTTGTTGTGACGGATTTTTTATCAATCATTAAGGAACTCCACAGGCGGATCTACGGGGGAGGGCTTGGGACTGAACCCCTCCTCCCAAAATAGTAAAATATAACCATGTTTTATGGTAAAAAATATTTAAAAAATATGTCTTAAAGTATTATTGCTCATTGAATTACATTTAATAGGATTTCAAGTATTACTTAAACACCATTTCATATAGGTAGTTAGTATATTTCTGTTTTTCCAAAATAATTATCATCGTATATATATATAAAAAAAAAAGCTTTCGGGCTGAAGCTCCCCTCCCAAAATTAAATCCTTGATCCGCTTGTGAGCAATTCCATTATCATCACCAGGAAATTCATGCCATGAACTTAAAACTATATAAAAATAACCAGGAAATAAATTGCTACGGGTCCTTTTGCGTTTAGGCTTAAGTGGCAATGAAGGAGAAAGGAATTAGGCATAAGCTATAATTCACCTTACTTAGAATCAACGAGTGAACAACACATATTACAAGAAACTTGGAGAAAAATAAGGATGAAGAGTGGAAACGACCGATATTCAAAATCCGCCTGTGCAGAGAAGACAATTATCTTAATAAGTACTTAAGATTAATCAATTTAATTAAGAATATTTAAGAAGAACAGTTTTCGTTAATAGCCTTGGAAGT